CTTTTGTGCCTGGTACATGATTTCCTTGTGAAAATGTATCAAGATTTAAGTAACTGGTTTACAACTAGATTTTGGGAACGTTAGTCTACTTCCAATTGTGGCCGGCCAGTATTATTATTGCTTAGATTATTATGAAAATTATTGCTTTTTTATCACAGTTATTTTCACTTGGTATGATTATAATTATTCCACAGGAAAATTACTCCACAAAGATAATGTTAAAGGTCTATAATATTTCACTTTTTGCATTATATATGATCTCAATTCAAGTTTTCCATTTGTATTTTATCCTAGTAGCATATAAGGGGATATGAAATTGAGAAATCCACATCTAAATACTCTTAGGATTTTATCCAAAAGACATTTTATGATAATTGATTCAAAAGGGAGAAAAAGGGCTGGTTGTGGTGGTGCACGCTTGCAACCCAATACCCAAGAAGCTGAGGCAGGAAAATTGCTGTGATTTCAAGGCCAACCAGACCTACATAGTGAAAACCTGTCTCGAAAAAAAAAAAAAAAAAAAAAAAGACAGTAAAAGGGAAATTGATTTCTTTTTGAGTCACCATTCTTCTACCTCATGTTTATTATGGAAGTGCTGATTCATGATATCAAAAATGAAAATTTTACATAAAAGTTATCCAAGGGCTTTACATTCATGGGGTTTACAGTTTTTCAATGAATAAGGGTGGCATATATGATTATTGAAGCGTGACCAAAATATGAAAGTAAATTTTAAAAGATTAATGCGCAGACAAGAAAAGTCATGAATTTTAGTTGTGTATGTTAAGATCATGATGCCAATGAGAAGCAAGTGAATGAGTGAATAAATTAGAACTGTGTCTAAAGGAACATTGAAATAGCTAGATGTTAATCTTTTCCATCAGCTAAAACTCCATAATGACATGCTCTTCTGGGAATAAGGGAATCGAGGCTATCTCTTGGCCTACTATGCCCTGTTATACTGCTCCCAAGAACGCCCTGGCTGCCATTTTCACATGGGGAGGTGCCAGGGGAAAGACCAGCTGCTCACGCTCCGACTTTTGTGGCTATAACTCCATATCCAGTCCTGGCTGCTTCTCCTATTTTCTGTATACTCAGGGAGTAGGATGTCAAGTATAAAGTCCCTGCTCCAGTCTTCCATCAGATTCTGCCCTTGGCTTATGCCCTTTTGGGTGCCATCTGCTTGGGGACATAGAGGACTATAGTAAGAGTGCCTGCTTATTGAGGGCCTGCTGGGGGCTTAGTATTTATATCTCTATTTTCACATTTCACACAGTTCTGTGAGGATGTTACCAGACTCATTTTTATAGATTTGGAACATAAAGCTCAGAAAAATTAAACCTCTCTGGGGTTATCTGATGAAATTTTTGTATTTGGGCCTCTCCTCTTTGCCATCAGTAGAAGATCCTTCTTTTTCCTTGGAGAAATATGTTAGCCTTGTCTCTCGTTGACTCTCCCCTTTCCACTGCAGCCCTCCCTGGAGAGCTGCTCTCCTACTCTCCTTCAGTCTGGTGTCCTGAATTTCCCACAGTGATTTGGCCTTTACAGTGATTTTTCTGGCTTCTTCTCTGTTAGCCTCAACTGATATCTTAAAATATCTGATTAGTACTTAATAGTGTTGGCAGGTTAGAATCATATTTTAAAAAGGAAACTATATTTTAACGTAAGTTTCTGAATCTACTCATTGCGAGAACATATTTTTTCCCATGTTAAACAGGCAAACTGGACCCAAAAAATGACCACCTGTTAGCTGCTAATGATGTTCACATGCCTTTTTAAAAAGTAATTCTGGCTTTATCTAACTACAATCTTGGCAACAAAACTTGTGGGAACATCAAGGGCATAGGAAGCCAAAGGCAGCTAACTGACAATGAAGTTTGTGCTTTGACTATTAATAAGGAAGAGGATACTATGAGTCTCTGACTCCACATAATTACTTAATTTCCAGAGGGTGACGTAAACTGAATGTATACTTTAAGTAATGTAAATTGGGGTGTTCAAATCAAGGACCAAGATCAGATATGTTTTACACAGGGTATTTCGTGCTGCAAAAAAATTGTAAAAATTAAATATAGAAATAAAGGCTTTAAATATTTTACAGATGTAGAATAATAAGATATTGCATTGGTGGGTCAATCATTATGTCTTTCCAATTAAAGTGAATATATACATATTGATTGAACTTAAAGTAAAAAATATTAACTATGTCCTACCTTGCAAAAATATACTATTAATATTACTAAGGAAGTATAATATTACTATTATTACTATTACTACTGTACTATTAGTAAAGAAAGTTTATAATTATGCATATCCATGAAGATACAGAAAAGAAGTATTTTATAAAATTAAAATTAGCATTAAAGCTTAAATGATCATTTAATCTTTGGACTTAATCAATTTCCAAAGAGACCATCTGGTCTTAACTCTTTTGCTAGCAAGTGTTTTGGGATCTCAATTTATGTTTTTGTTTTATATGGGTCTTATTTATAAGTTTTAATGTATTTATTTCTATCCAAGTTTAAGGTTGATATAGACTGCCTTTTATTTAACTTCAATATGAGGTAATGATTAAAAGCACAGGCTCTAAAGCAGATTACTTAGGTTTACAACATGTCTTCATAGCTTGTTTTTATACGTTAGCTCAGTTCTTTGGATCTTCGTGTCCTCATCTATAAAAGGGTAAATTAAGGTAGTACCTACCTCATATGATTGTTGGAAATTTTAAGCAAGTCATATAAGACAAGCACTTAGATCAATATTGCAATATAATAAGTATACAATATTTTCTAGTTATCCCTAGTTTTTTTTTTTAATAAAATTACCTTTGTTCCATGTTCAATACTTTTTTTTTTTTTGGTACCAGGGATTGAACTTGGGTCCTTGTGCTTGTGAGGCAGGCAGCAGAACCACTGAGCTAAATCCCCAACTCATAACTTTTTTTTTTTTAACTTCAGAGAAATGGTGAATAAGAAATTACCATATAATTCAAGTGCATTTCGAAAGGAATAGAAAAAATGATGTTTCTTTTTTTGTGTTTAAATTGGATTAAATTTAAACTCAAAGTAAATAATAAATCTTTCTCAATGAAACAATAAATTCTGCAAAGAGATCATGATTATTCTATCTATATAATTTTTTCCTAGCAGCATCCTAAAACTTTAAAGTAACTACTATTCTATATAGAATCCATTAGCCATAACATTTGTCAAACATAGGTTTGTAAACCTTTATTTCCTCCATAGCTTTAGGCTTTAAGAGCATGTCAAGCAATACTCTAAACCAGAAATTTTATCTGATTCCAGATCCATTAATTACTGAATCACATATTCATTTATGTTTACTACAAAATATCTACACAATAAACATTAAATATTTCCAACTTAATTTTAATTCTGAAATCTTACTTATGTCTGATTCCACGTAAAGCAAAAGAGGAAAACAGCCAGGAGTTAAGTCCTTTTTAAATCAGCAGTCCCCAACATGTATGGCACCAGGGATCAATTTCAAGGAGGACAAATTTTCCGTGGCCCATGGAGGGGATATACCTGGTTTTGGGATTCGAATCTTATAAGAAGCACACATTCTAGACCTCGTGCATGTATAATTCATAGTAGGGTTCAGGTTTCTCTGAGAATCTAATGCCTCTCCTGCTCTAAAAGAACCCACTCAGGTGCTGTACCTAGGTGAAGACCCCTACTTTAAATGATATAGCACAAAACTGTATCATTCTATGGAAAAAAAATTTTTGAATCTTTACAAATGCGCCATACAATTTTAAAAATTTGCCATTGATAATCTTAAATGTCGATGTAACACAATTCACTAAGTGAACATGGATCTGGCACTTGTTGAAAATTACAGTATGGTCTTTTGACAATAACTTAATTTCAAAAGTTCCTGCTACTCAGTTTCTAGATTTGTGGCCCTCAACAATTCAGCTTTGGAAGATATATCATCTATATATACCTTATTTACCCCTTGTCATGCACATACAAGTGCTTATTTGCACATGCACATGTATACATATCTATCTATCTATCTATCTATCTATCTATCTATCTATCTACCTTTCCCAGTGAAAATATCTGTCTATATGAACAGAAAATCATCTAGAATACATAGGTATCTACATGTACATGTGTTTATATTCCATTAGTGGCCCTTTCTCAATTTACTGAATTATCAAATTCAAGCTTTTATACTTCTTGAATTTACTTATTTCTGTAATTATACTGATCTTTGGTCAGAGAGAAATTATTTTAAAAAATGGAGATTATGGATAGCTAAGTAGAAGATCCAAGAAGCATACTGAGTTTTAAAACTTTGAAAATTTTCTCTGACTTCAAAGATATTTACCTGTTCTTTCAGAAATGTGAGACTTAAATCAATTCTGAAATACAGAGTTTTAATAAGGCCCTTTTACTGAAGAAAAAGCAGACTGTGAGAAGATTAAAAACACTGAACATCACTGTATGAATTGTTTTTACTCCAGACTTCTTGAATAGTAGAACTAGATAAGACCTGGGAAAACTTCTAATTCACATTTTCCATTTCTGCCATGGGCACGCCCATTTCTATACCTTTCAGGTGGTCCAAAGTGTGGCACGATGGCTTCATTTGGACCAACTGTGGTAGTTACTCATATTTTTAAATATATGGAAATAAAATAGCATATCAAAGTTTGGGGACACTTGCCACTTGCCACTTTCAAAATCAGTCACCTATATGAACTCCATGGCGGTTACTCAGAGCTTCAGAGGCTTTCTGTAAGCAGAGACCACGACCTTGGAACAATTATTTTCACAAAAGGCATTACCGACAATGATAAGTGGGAAGTGCCCAGACTGCCCTCCAGTGCATGAATCCGTGGCCAGGATGTGGCAGCGAATCTTCCATGAGGAGTATATGCTTGACTTAATCTCACTTCCGTGCATTTATATTTCATAAGCACGGCGTTTAGACCAAGTTTAAATGAGCAAATCAAAGAAAATACTCACTTAAAGATTTCCTGTGCTCGGGTTTCTGTTCTTTAGCATCACTATCATAGTGACTTAGCAATTCTGTACTAGAAGATCTCTGGATTTTGAATAATTCCAGCTTTCTTGGACAATTCGGATCCTTTGGCTAGAAGAACAAACAATAAGACTTAATAAATTTACTGGGAAGAAAAGATTCACCAAGTAGTGCGGTGTTCCATTTTAGTGTTACACGTAAAGGGATGTTTGAAATATGTTAATTATTTGGTATAGTCCTCTACGCTAAGCTTAACACTCAAAGTTAATAATAGCTCATAGGGGCACATGGTGCTTACTAAATGTGAATGCTTCCAAGTATTCTACATACATTAACACAATTAATCATCACACGAATCCTATGAGGTAGCCGGCAACATTATTACTGACAAAGACACTGAGGCCCAAAGAGAAAAGTACTTTGCCCAAGGCCGCATAGCTAGTAAATGATGGGACCAATATTCAGGCAGTTTGGCCCCAGAGTCCGTTCTAGAGACCATAATTTGTGTATTGTTGTCTGTATATGAGGACTTTATGGATGATGGGGAAAAGTTAATTTATTTTACTTTTAAGTTTTCACTCCCAAATTATATAATTAAAGACTTCATCTATGAGTAAAATTACCCAAAATATTTTATTTTTTTCTCTTGTATACTGTATTAGAAACTCTCAACAATGTGTTTTCCTCAGGACTTTGCAGATATTAAGGAGGTAAAATTAATCACTATAAAATGAGCAGTTTTAGGTAATTTAGCTCTTTTAAAACTTACTCTGAAGAACCTGAGTTCGATTCCTGGTACAAAACAAAACAAAACAACAAAAAAACCTTACTCTGTATCTGGTTTAATACAATTTCATGAAGTTCCAGATAGGTGATTTTCATGAGAATAATCCATCTTAGAAGAACAATAAAAGTCAGTAGAAAGGATTATTATTTACTGGCATTATAATAATGAGTGTGGTTTTAAACATATTGATATTTAATTTTAAGAATATGTATTAGAGACTGCATAAATTCAGAATGTAAAAATTCAGTAGTTATTAAGCTCCTATGTGCTTTTTTACAATGTCCAGTAAATGAATATTCATGTTATTTCAGAAAGAAATGGCTTTTTTTGAAAGATATCAAGTGACATTTACCTCCCGCAAATCCTGTCTGCTGAAAATGTTCGTAGAAGACTTTATGTATTTAAATTTAAAAGTTTAGTATCTCTCTGTCCATAGGATCTATTTAAATGGGGTGTGTGTGAGTGTGTGTGTGTGTGTGTGTGTTATAAGCCTGAGCAGTAAGATTTAAATAACTACATTTTAATTAATAAAGGTAAAGGCCAAAACAAATACATACCAATCTGTCAATTGTATTTTTGATAGCTTGGAACCAATCCAGTATAATGAAGTCAATATCTGACTGTAGAAGGAATTCATTCCCTGACACTGTTGTGATCTGGAAATAAAAAATCGACAGGTAAGAAAATCATGTGAGATAGATCGCTAACATTTAAAAAGGAAAGTCTTCATTAAAAAACACAGTTTAAGATATTGAAATATTTTCTTCTATTCCAGTAATTGTCCTTCTGGGAACTGGGCGGCTAGGATCATTCTGAACTGACCTCTATAAACTGTTTTCTCATGTCATAACAAATACATTCATATTTTAATAATAGGATGAATAACTTAGAGTAGGGGTAAAGTTGAATCACTCCAACTTCAAGAGAAATAAGGCAGGAAGTTCAGAGTGATGAGGACAGTACATACTTAAATGGGAAACTGCAGAAAAATGCACCCGGTGTGTCAGAATTCATTCTGTACTTTTGGCACATTCCTGTTTGTAATTTTAAAATCTAATAATATCTCTATATTTGATTTCCAAATGAAATGGAGGGCTCTAAAATAGATTCTTTATCAGAGAGACTAATGCAGACTTTTCCAAAAGGTCTTCGACTTCCCACTTGCTTGTTTGTTTTCAGAAAAACTCAACAGATATACAAAATTTTCAATATTTTAAAGCAAGCCTTCTTGAGTGACATGAGTTCTAATACAAAATTTGGTCTATGCTGTTGTAAGAATAAGAGCTGTCCAGAGTGTATGCAATTATAAAAAGTAAAAAAATGGAAAATAATAGGATTTAATTATGCATATTAAAATTTGACAGACCACTGGGACCAATCATATTTTCTCTCTCTCTCTCTCTCATTTTCTAAAATTGCATGTAAGATTTGGAGTGGCTAAATAGCTCAAACTAGCCCTCCATTTTATGTATCCAGTAAAAAACAGCTAAGCTGATGTTTTCCAAATTATCTGAATATCTTTGCAACTTGCATTACTTACATGAAGTCCCAAATATTTGCTTTATGAAGTGTTGGTACAGAGATAAGAATAAGGTCACTTCTGACTAACACAAGAAAACTAGTAAATTCTTTGACCTCTACCTTTATTCTAAGTTTAAATATTTTGATTATGAATGTATTATACAGCATCATAAGTTATTGTATATAGAGAGAGATGAATTAGTCCAAGCAAAATGTATAATCTAAAATGTCTCTGTCAGTATAAATATGACATTATTAAAATTATAAAAAGGAGCAGCATTTTAAAAGTACAAAAAACAAACATAATTAGATTAATGTATTGTGAGGGTTGCAGAAAACGGCAACATAGTTCATTCTTTGGCCTAGTAATTCGAACAATTATAAAATGTAAGTGCACTGCATTTGCATTTTCCGTGCATGCTATGCAATGCAAGGGGGATCTTTCACAGCTAACACAACCAAAAGCAAGATGTATTTTTAAAGTTTCTTTGTCCAACTATATTACTGCATTAATCATACATAATCAGTGATTTACAAATTCATTTGAGGATGCTAGATGTGGGAACTATATGAAAGTGATTCATTCAAATCATACTGTCTGAGACATTCAGCTCACATCCTTTCCTGTCTTCCCACTCATCTCCCGAGTTACTAGGCCGTCTGGAGAAGTCTGCTACTGCTCTCTACAGTTTAAATGCATCCACTTCTTAATTACAGTCAGTAATTGACTTTGTTCTGCTCCAATCCAGACATTCACAGGAAAGTAGTTTCAAAATCTTTGGCTGGTAAATTCCATTTAATTCAGATTTCTCTCCCCACTTTTTTGTATTACCTCGTTAGGATTTCTAATAGTTTGCTGAACCATATTTATACTTTGAGCAATCAAATTTTCAACACTCTTTGGGGAAAAAAGCAAGCAGTAAAGAATGTTAACTTTGACTGAACCTTTTGCCCGAACAACACACAATGCCAATCTAAAGTGATGTAGAACAAGACATAAGGGACGGATTCCAAGGCAGGTTCATGTAATTCTCTACCATGTCTTTCCTAGGTGACCGGGGTTGGAGGTGAGCCCATGAAGGAAGGGCTCCAGTTAAGAGCTGCTGGTCTCCATTTTGCTTAAATACCTATTTTATACAAACGTCCAAATAAAGGCCCTCATCTCCAACATGTCATATTTTGAAAGAATATAATGTGGCAATAAAATAGTCTTAATGAAATATGCTAGTGTTGTCAATAATAAATATCTATAAATACATGTCTGGGAAGATTTGCTCCAACCCAAACTTTTTCACACTAAATAAGTGTTGTTGCAATTCTTTCTGGCAGCAAATTCATGCTGAGCAAAAGCATGTCCACTGAGCAATGTGCTGAGTAAAAGCATTTCTTAAGGCTTCTTTGGGGTATTCATTCAATAACTTTTCCCTCAAACTTAGAATCTTGGTCTGTGTGCTTCTGGCTCCTTGAAGGTGGAGGCAGATATGTGAAGCTCCTGACATCGAGTATGAGATTCAAATGGAACAAACTTGCTTTTTAAAGATTGTAATTAAAGAGTATTATTACATTAATGGAAAGATAATATAAGTATTATAAGGAGTAGCATATGTGTAAGTATTTTTCTTCAAGTCCTTTTCAACATTTTCAATTACATATCACCTCACAAATATTCACTGTAACAGTGGGATTTTATGGACTTACATTTTTACTTAAATGAGACATTAATGTGTAGAATGCTGTTTATACCACTAAATTTTTCCATGTTTTAATTTTTGTAACAGAAACAAAACTTTTTATAGAATTTTATTTTTTTCTGAAGAGAGTAATAATAGGGATTGTTGTGGATAATGGGAAAAGTAACAATGATTCCAATTAAAACTGTTCATAGTTAGATAGAGTAAACATTGCACACATTTGAATTATTGCCAGGCTTTTATATGTAATAGTTAAGTGACTATGATAATGATCAATAGATAAATTTCTGTTATTGATAGATGCCGCATCAGAAAACATGTGATTGTTCAATATTGTTTTCTCCCTTTCTGGTGACTTCAAATACACACGAGATTACTAAAAATGTAAATGATGACCAATGACATTGTGCTGCTCTTTCTTTGATGTATCACCATTCCAGCTGAAGAATAAATCCCACATATAACTCCATGTTCCGGGGACTGAGGGGACATCTTCATACTGGAATATCCCCCTGATTATATATATATATATATAAACCCCACCCTCAAGAACTCACAATCTGTTTGGATACTAGAACATATGCATACAAATAAATAACAGCAGAAAATAGCTTATACTAAGCCTCAGTGTGAGAGGCATAGACAATGCTCATGTCAAGATTTCATAGGAAGGAATAATTACTGCAGTCACATTTACATCATGAAATTATATATAAGCTGTTGGTCATATATATAAACCCCACCCTCAAGAACTCACAATCTGTTTGGATACTAGAACATATGCATACAAATAAATAACAGCAGAAAATAGCTTATACTAAGCCTCAGTGTGAGAGGCATAGACAATGCTCATGTCAAGATTTCATAGGAAGGAATAATTACTGCAGTCACATTTACATCATGAAATTATATATAAGCTGTTGGTCATGATACGTTATTCTTTAAAGGTTGATTGTATCAGAATGTTAGTATATTAAGGATATGAATATTACCACTTGTTATGCAAAGTGGTAACAGCTTTAATGATCTCAAAGCACATAATAAACATTCTCCAAATGCAGCTTCCCTCCACCATCATAAAGTGATTTTGCAAATGAAGAAAATGAAGCAAATTAGAAAAGCGAGAATGGCATCCTATCAGATTGACATCATTTAGAATAAGAGAATTAAAAGATTACAAAGATCTCAATTTCTAGTTCACTAGTTCTCAACGAACAGTCTTATACTGTAAAACATTGTACGTGTGTGTGTGTGTGTGTGTGTGTGGTTAAATAAAGGGCAATAAAGATTTGTTTCAGGTATGACATTTGGAATATTGACTTTAGATAAAATATTTTATGTATTGTTATGCTAATGAACGGACAGTTTTATAAGACAATACAATACCCCCCTAGTCTCTCCTCTCCGCCCTTCTCCCTTCTTCCTCTTCCCTCCCTTTCTTTTCTCTTTGCTTTCCCCAAACACCCAATCTCTTCATGATGAAGTCTGTATATGTGTGTTAATTTAAGTGAAAATAAGTTGGGTTAAACTGTACTACATATACTTGAAATAAATATAAATGATCTTTATGATATTAATTTTGGTTATATACTTTTTTTTTTTTTTTGAGACAGGGTCTCACTATGTAGTTGAGACTGCCCTGGAACTCACTATGTAGCCCAGGCTGGTCTCAAACTCACAGCGATCCTCCTGCCTCGCCTTCCGAATGCTGGGATTATAGGTGTGTGCCACCATGCCCGGCTAGTTATATGCTTTTAATACACACAGTGCAATATATATAGGCTATACTATAATGAAATATCAAGATATGAAAATAAAGCCTTAAATATATTAAATAAATAATAATAATAATAATAAATTAAAGCCTTAAATAATGCCTTAAAAAGCAGGTTCACATTTTTTCATCTTACAATAACACTCCATATTTGGTATTGTTAATTGTTAATAAAATATAGGTCATTCCAATTATATTAACATTTAAATTACTTTCTCCCATAGATTTTTATGACCACCAAAGGAATTACATTATCAGACTACATGTCTGTCTCAAATTACAGTCTGCTTAAGTAACTCTGAACATTTTTTAAAAAACATGTCAGAGCAAAGTTACCATAAAACTAAGGGTAAAGTATTAGCTTGAAGAAAAAGGTCTTCAGTTTTTCTTTCCAAAAAATGTTACTGGTTAAAGCATTTGTGAGAAAGTATCTGCCTCGTGTTCCCAATGTTGCTAGATGTTAAGTAAATATATAATGATTATTTTTTTAAAAAGTTACTTTGGCAACTTTCTTATTAAAATGCATTTGCAACCAACCCCCCATCTGTCACGAAAGTTTTGAAAAGTTTGTTTACTTTGGATAGCAGCCTTATCCAGGGTTACCCTAGCAAACAGTGATAGCAGTCTTCAGAAGTTGTGTGAGGAACAAGCCGCTGGGGATCCATTTTTG